AAGATTTTATTTATTTATTTGACAGAGAGAGACACAGCGAGAGAGGGAACACAAGCAGGGGGAGTGGGAGAGGGAGAAGCAGGATTCCCGTGGAGCAGGGAGCCCGACGCGGGGCTCGATCCCAGGACCCTGGGATCATGACCTGAGCCGAAGGCAGACGCTTAATGACTGAGCCACCCAGGCGCCCCTATTTAATATATTTATTATCCCTTCCAATATATATATGTTATTCACATGTTCAATGCACAAGTGTCCTACATTTTCATTAATAACTTAGATAAAGATAATCTGGAAGACCAAGGACACAGTCCTGCAGCATATCACCAGAAACCTCTCAGCAGGTCAACACATTAATCATTCATCTTTAGATATGAGTCATTTCAACAGTTTCTAATTTACCCAGTTGTCCTTAACTATAGCCCATACTGCCTCAACTTGTGAGGAAAAAGTGCAATAGATACAGATTGAGAAGCAGGAGGCTTGGAAAGTCATGCTGAGGAGTTTCACACTGTCTGCACTTAGTGAGGATCCATTTAAGAGGTTTAAATGGGGAAGGAGATGGTCAGAGTCTTATCTTAATAGGTCTGTGCAACCTCCTTATATTTGTCTTTCATTAAATGTCCTTCTTTCATCTTTTGAATATATTTCAAAATCTGTGTACAAATGCCAAATCATAATGTTGTACACTTTAAATATATACTGCTTTGTCAATTATACCTCAATAAAGCTGGAAAAAAATCTAAACTTATCAGGTCACTGGAAAGATAATACAAACTAGAGAGATGTCAAGGCAAGATTTGATGGTGTGCCTGCCTGCCCTTCCCTCAGTCCTTTCACCAGGAAAATTTCTATATATCCTTTACATTTAACTTTTAAATCGTCATATCAAATCACATACTTGTACTAAAGTATTTCATCAAAGATACATACATCTCATTGTATATTTAATATGTTCCATGTCTACCTACAGACTTCCCTTCTCTTTCCCATGAGGATTATTGGCTTTGAGATGTAGGAGTTCTTTTTCTCATAAAGAGTCCTTTGTAGGCCTTATTGGCAGTTAATTCATCCCTCCTTTTCAAGAACCTTTTTTTTTTTTTTT